GGAAAGAAGGGGGAGATGGATGTGAGTTTGAAGATGAAACGTGAACATGAGTTGGGGCCGGGAATGTGGGTGGAGGTTGGGAAGGGGGAAGTTCAGGGAGGACTCAGGGTCAGGGTGAAAATGGGAGTAAGAGCGGAGAGCCCCCCCCCCCAGGTGGCTTAGTCGGTTGAGCTTCCCACTCTTGATCTCAGCTCAGGTCATGGTCTCACAGTTCATGAGTTGGAGCCCTGCCTCTGGCTCTGTGCTGACCGCATGGGGTCATTGGGGTTCTCCCTCTGCCCCTCCCCCGCTCACAGTCACTTGTGTGCTCACTCTCAAAATAAAGAAATAAATCAATGTTAAAAAAAAAAAGAATGAAGGGGGTGAGACTAGCTTGGGGTTGGGGGTGAAGGGGGTGCTGAGATGGGCCTGGGTTAGGGTTTGGGCAGGAGACTAAATTGGGGACCGGCTGGCAAGCTGTATGGAGACCGGCCAGCACTGGCTGCCCCATTGAGTTGAGGGGCGCAGCGATGAGGTGAAAGGTGTGTTTGGACAGAGGGAGAGTGAGGTTGGGATAAGTATGGAGTTGGAGGCTCAAAAAGGCATCAAGAAGACACTGGGGCTTGGGGTAGTTTGGGGCTGAAGACACAGACGGGGTGGGGTTATGAGTTGAGTTGTGCCCCCCCAAGAAAAAACACATGTGAAGTCCTAAGCCCCCAGGACCTCAGAATGGGACCATCTTTGGGGACAGGGTGTCTCCAGAGGTAAGCAAGTTAAACATAAACTCGGAGGATGGGCTCCGATGGGGTATGACTGGTGTTTTTTTACAAAGGGGAGATTTGGACACAGAGACGGACATGCACAGCCGGAAGACGACCAGCAAAGCTCCAGGGGCAGGAAGAGTCGAGGAAGGATTCCCCTGTGAGTTTCCGAGGGTGCTGCATCCAGAACTGAGGGGATAGATTTCTGTAATTGAAGCCACCCGGTTTGTGGACGAGCTTACGGTGCCGGGGGAGGGGGGGACACAGTGGGGGGACGCAGGTGGAAGGCAGGTGCTGGATGTGGCGGGGGGGGGGTGTTGAGGTGAAGCTTGGACACAGGTGAGGATGAGGTTGGAGGTGGGGGCTGGGGGTTTGGGGGTTGGGATGGATTTGGGTTTGGGGTTCAGAGTGGGATGGGAAAGCAGAAGAGATTGGGGGTGAAGGAGGAGGTTGGGGCGCAGTCTGGGGCCGGGGTTGGGGCTGGCGGTGGGAAGGGGGTGGGGTACGGAGGTTAAAGAGACGCAGGAGGTCAAGGTTGGATGGGGATACGTGGAAAGGAGATGGGATAGAGGTTGAACTTGAAGGGAGGGAGAGAAGGGGGGTTGAAATTGGGGGTGCGGAAGGGATTAGAGTATATGGGACCAAAGTCTGTGATCCTTATAGGACATGGGGGTGGGGCTGAAGCTGGCAGGTGTGGGGGGATGGGGTGGGGGTGGGGGTGGATCTGGGGTGGGTGTGGAGATGCAGCTGGAGCGGGGACTTGGTGACAGAGATTAGGAGCGTGGGAGCAGGGGGCTGGGCGGGGGGCTCCCGGCTCACCTGACAGAGGCTCTTTCATCTTCGGGGGCTCAGGGACCTTGGGCGGGGGCTCGGGAGCTGCCTCGCCTGCGGGCACCACCCTCTCAGCCAGTGACGCCCGGCGGGGCTTGGGCCCACGTCCCAGCCTCAGGAAGGCCAGTCTCCGGGCGGCCTCTCCGGCCACCTCCTCGTCGCCCTGGGCTCGGGTCCCCTGAAGCCTGGCCAGGAGGCCAAAGTCCGCCGAGCTCCTGCGTGTCCCCGGCGTCAGCACTCGGCCCAGGAAAGAGCGCGGCTGCCCATCTCCGGGGCTGCCCGCCCGCCGCCCAGGGCTCCAGCCCAGCCGGAAGGGAGCCAGGCCGGCCAGCTTCTCCAGGGTGGCCCGGCGGCGACAAGATGTTCCATTGGGCAGGGACCCCAGCTCCCCAACCTCCTCTTCTTCCAGTCCTGGAACTTCCTCAAAGGGGTTCCGGGAGGACCTCAGGGGCAGCGTCCCTGCCCGGGACACCTTAGAGTCTGTCACCCCTAGACTCTTCAGAATGGGCATCTTGACCGCCAGGGACCTGGGAAAAACATCACGGACCATCAGGGGAATTGAGGGCAGAATGGTGTTGATAATTAATGCCTCTGGGTGCCCAGCAACTCAGGGCCCACATGCCAGGCACTGGTCTGAGCACTCACTAATCCCACGCGGCTAGTGCTGTAATAACAGCATTATTACACCCATTTTGCAGATGAGGAAACTGAGGCTCAGAGGAGCAAAGGTGCTTACCTAAGGTCCCACAGTGACTCAGGGACACAGCCAGCATTGGCGCCCAGACCTGTCTGATTCCAGGGTTGGGGCTCTTTACCCGGGGCATTCAATGCATTCAGACTCTCTCCTTGCCTCACTCCTGCCTGGGGGCTCATCACCTTTGTGGACCCTCCTACTCTGCGAGGAAACAGGCTCAGAGAGGGGAAGGGTCTGTCCCAAGGCGGCACAGCCAGCGAGGAGGAGAGACTGCATGGGGACTCAGCCCCACCACCTACCCACCAGTCACACACATGGGCACCTGTCTCGTGTCCCCCATCCAGTCGGCACACCTGTCGCCTCTCTCCTGCTCTGTTCGTTCCTTTAGCAAAGCCTTACTGGGAAATGTCCAGAAGCAGGCAAATCCACAGAGATAGAAAGGAGATTGGGGCGGGGGGAGCTGGGAGACTGGGGGCAGGGGGTGGGGGTGGAGGGGAGTGACGGCTTAATGAGTATGAGTTTCCTTTCTCGAAATGAAAATGCTCTGGAACTACATAATGTCGATGGTTAACAGCACTGTGAACGTACTAGAATGCTACTGAATTGTATGCTTTAATGTGAAGTTTTAAATAACTTTATTTAGCTGTTTGAGAGAGAGTGGAGGAGGGGCAGAGAGAGAGGGAGAGAGAGAGAATCCCAAGCAGGCTCTGTGCTGTCAGCGCAGAGCCTGACGCAGAGTTCGAACTCATGAATCGTGAGACCATGACCCGAGCCTAAACAGAGATCCAGACACTTAACTAACTGAGCCACCCGGGCGTCCCAAGATTTTATTTTTAAGTGAGCTCTACACCCAACGTGGGGCTCAAACTTACAACCCTGAGATCAAGAGTCACATGCTCTACAGACTGAGCCAGGCAAGCGCCCCTCAAAGTGAATTTGATGGGGCGCCTGGGTGGCTCAGTCGGTTAAGCGTCCGACTTCAGCTCAGGTCATGATCTCACGGTTCGTGGGTTCGAGCCCCGTGTCGGGCTCTGTGCTGACAGCTTGGAGCCTGGAGCCTGCTTTGGATTCTGTGCCTCCCTCTCTCTCTGACTCTCCTCTGCTCACGCTGCCTCTCTCTCTCTCTCAGAAATAAATAAAACATTAAACAAAATTTTTAATGAAAGATTCTCTCACTCCTAAGTCCCTCATCTCCTCCCTCTCCATGGCCCCTGCCCCAGTCCAGGCCTCCTCCCACTTCCCCTCTTTCTCCCTGGTCTCCAGGCTCTTTTCTTGGCCCCTCCAGCCTACCTTTGAGGACCTCGGTAAAGCACAAACTTGCACCACTCTTTCTCTTAACCTTGCATGGCTCCCCGGTACCTTTGGCACAAAACCCAGCTGCCCTTGCCTGCCAGATGTGCCCCTCACCAGTGCCATGCCACTTTCTCCTCCTCGGGGCGCCCCTAGGTGACAGCATTTGTTGATCTTTCTACACGAAACCCCTTCTCCCTGCACCAGTCATGCTTTAGGATCCAGCTCCAAAGCCCTTTCCTCCAGGAAGCCTTCCCTCATGCCTCGGCTGAGTCAAGTGCCCCCCTCAGAATTTCCTCATCCCAGCCCTCCCCACTTTGAGTTGTCGGTGTCTGGGGATGAGTCTGAGTCTGTGAAGTCCCGAGAGGACAGGGTCGGGCTGTCTCCGTCACCACCGTGTCCCCAACTCCCAGGGCAGGCGCTCAGGAAATGAATGGGTGCTAAACAGGAAATAAAGGAAGGAGGCAAGGACCTCATTCCTTGTGGGCGAGGAGTCAAGCTGGAGAGGTCAGTACAGAGCAAGCCACGCAGGGCCTCGAAGGGCCGCGAGGAGGGACTTGGGCTTTTTCCCGAGGACACTGGGGAGCCGTGGAAGGGTGCTTTTTAAAATGATGAAATAGTTCAAACATTTAGGAATTCAGAAAAATTTAGAAAACAAACACCCCCTCTGCCTCCAATCCTAGCTGCTGCGTCCAATGCAAACATTCGATTTGGCTCAGGATTTGTTGGTGTTTGGGGTTTTTTGTTTGTTTGTTTTGGTGGGGTTTTGTTTTGTTTTTTTTTGGTCTTTTTTAGAATCAAGCATTACAGATGCCCTCCCCCCCTACCCCTTCCCAGGACAGTAGTGTCCAGAAAGTGTGTCTTCCCGTCCAAGCTGACTTTTGCTCTAAGTCTCTGTAGACTTGCATCCAGAAAAAATGTATCATTTGCATCTAGAAACAATGTATCATTTTACATGTTTCAAAAGTCTGTGAATGTTCTCAGATTCTGTGCATCCAGCAAGTTGCTGTTCATGGGTGTGTTTAGGCACACGGGTGCGCACACGTGAGACGTACCCATGCCTATCTGTGTGGCTCTGACTGATTTAAGTGTGGCTGGCTGGCTTTGGCAAAACTGTAAAACGTCAGATGTTTCCACCTTCAACCTACTAGGCCCATAGGTTGTTTTGAACTGGGACACGTTCAGAGCAGGTGAGGGACAGGGTTGGATTGGGAACCCCCGTGGGGGTGCATAGAGAATCCGAAAGGAGGCAGTTGCTGAAAGGGTCCTGAGTTGGCTGGGCAGTGGGCAAGAGCGTCTTCCTTTCATGGGGGGAGCCCCTTCCCTTCTTTCCTCCCTGACTTCAGCCTCTGGACCTCAGCTGTCATGCCTCAAGCCTCTCTCTGGTCTCCATGATCCCCGGTCCCCCAGGGAGGCAGTCACCATGGCAACCCTTGCCTGGAGCCCCCATGATGTGGGCCATCGACATGAGCCCCCCCCCGCCATACACACACACACACACACACACACACACACAAGTCACACACTGATTTGTCTATCTTTCATCTTCCACACTGGCTTCACCATGTCCCGACACTGGGTCCATTGTCCCCCCAAAACTCCACGTCCCCGTCAAAACAGGGCATCCGTCACAGAAGTCAACATGGCCCAAACTGGCTCTGCCACTCCCTCGCTGGCTCCCACATCCATCCCCAAACTGGGTCCAATACTCCCAAACCGTCTGCAACACCCTCAGACCCCACTGCCAACATGCTCTCCAAACCGGCCCCGTGGTCCTTCCCTTTCCTGGCTGCAACACCGCCCCCCCCCCCTGCAAACTGGCTCCGACATCCTGCCCCCTCCAGCCCCCTCTCATCTGCCTCCCAGTGCCCGGCCCTGGCCCCTGACTCACTTCCGAGGCATCCCTCAAGCCCCCAGCCTCCAGGCTCCCACAGGATGTCTCGGCCACCAGCGCTTCCCTCTCTGGGCTCTGGCTCCTCCCCCTCCTCCCCCCCTCCTCCTCACTGCCAGCCTTTCCCCAAAGCCCTAAACCCTCCACAGGCAGCCTGACCCGTTTGCAGAAGTCAGCGCCTCCAGCCCCCAAGTCTGTATCAGAGAACAACCCTTATCAATTGTGCGTCCATGCTGGACCCCAACCACACCCCCCAACTCCAGACCTCACCCCCAAACTAGCCATCACCAGCCCAGCCCGGTTCACACTCATGCACATCTTCGCCTCGAACCCCATCTCCTGCTCCATCTCCATCCCAGCCTTGCTCTCCCCCCATCTCCAGGCCCCCCATCCCTCGGGGATGGAGGAAAGTACCCGCCGCTCTCGGCCCCACCTGCCCACCTGAACTCCAAGGGCATCAGACCCAACCCAATCCAAGTGGCTCCTCTCGGTTCTCCCTTGATGGTCCAAGCTCTCCCGGCTCCTGTGAAGCTTCTCGGGGTCCCCGGGGTCCCCAGATTCCTCCCTGCACCCCCTGCCCTGTTGCTGGTACCTCCTGAGGTCGGGCCCCACATCTTTTGCCCCCAGCCCCCCCTGGCTGCAGGGTACATGTTCTCCCCATCTCTGGTCCCACCGAGGTCCGGGGGGAGCCCAGGTCAGGGCATGCGAATCCGAATCCTGCCCCTTCTCCAGCACACTCACCTCCTCCTCCTCGGCAGCGGCAGCAGCGCCTTTGTCCCTCTGTCGCCGCTGCTCTCCTGTCTGAGGACGCTTCAGCCAGAACTGCTGAAAGCTTGGAACTGGGGGGGGGGGGGCGGTTAGAGGAGGTCAATTTCCTGTCAGGAAACCCCTCCCTCCCTGGGGCCAGGGGCGGGAAGGACTCTTTATCTGTCTGCCCTTTTAGGCCAAGCTGGGGCTGGGCTGGGAAAGACAAGGCCACAGTCCGGCCTCCCCCCCCCCCCGGAATCCGCCCCCCCCCCGCCTGCTCTTCACGCCTTCCAAGGTGACAACACCGTCCTGGGCACCCTGGGGAGACACCCAGCTTGGGACTCGGGCCCAGAGCTCCCCCTCGGGTTCCTTGCTCTGGAATGAAGGTTCTGCTGGCCCAGACACTGCCATCAGAGGCCTGAGGGCATGACTTTGGAACTGTACTTCTCTCCCCCATCTCCACACCCCCACCCCCACCCCCCCCGCATGGCTCCCTCCTTCTACATCATGCAGGCCTCAGCTCCAGCCTCTCTTCCTCAAAGGAGACTTTCCCTGGACAGCAGAAGCCCCTTCTGCCCTCACCTCCTCCCTCCCCCAGGGGACTAGCTCTAATTTGTCAATTCCTTCAATTGTCAATATCCCCTTCCTCAGTTTGAACGATCAGATTTCTGTCTCCCATGTAGGTTTTCTGACTCTCCCACTCGAATGTAAATCCAAACCAGGTTTTGCCTACCTCGTTCATCTTTACATCCCTAGATGCGTGCCTGGCACATACTAGTAAAGATTTATTAGCCGAGTGCACGCGTGGGGATAGATCAGAGATAAGGATTGGAAGCTGGGGGTGCATATGACAGGTGCAGTGGGGGGGGCTGGGAATGGGTTGGGGGTTAGGTGGAGTTAGATATAGGATTAGGGTGACTTGTAAGGCAGGTTTAGATGGCCTTTCGGGTGCTCAGACGTAGCGTCCCGGGTGTTAGACCTGGACCAAGGGGTCACTTTGACGAGGCAACGTTGGGGGTGGTGAGGGGTTGGGGTCAGGGCTGGGATCAGGGATCAGGGCTTCTTCCCCAGCCCCAGCAAGGGCTTTACAGACACTTATGGCTGACGAAGCAGGTCAGGGGGTTAAGACTCCAAGATCTGAAGGCCTCCGTTCAAGGACTGGATTTACCAGACAATGGGCCCTGGGGAAGGACTGGGGTTGAGTGGCCCAGGGGGTGGGGGAGGCTTTGTCCTCGCCAGGTCCATGTGGACCCGTGGTAATCGGAAGACAGCGACCGGAAATGGCCGGAACCAAATGGCCTTGTTGTGGGCCCTGACAGCTATCAGATCTCCCCCTTTTTGTTTAATTTAATTTTTATTGAGATACAATTCAGGAGCGCTTGGGGGGCTCAGTCGGTTGAGCTTCAGACTCTTGATTTCAGCTCAGGTCATGATCTCAGGGTTTGTGAGACTGAGCCCACTTTGGGCTCCTTGCTGTCAGTTGGGAACCTGCTTGGGACTCTCTCTCCTTCTTTCTCTGACCACCCCTTCATGTGCGTGCACACACACACACACCCACTCTCTCTCTCTCACTCAAAATTAACTTAAATTTTTAAAAAATATTTTTGAGAGAGACAGAGACAGAGTGTGAGCAGGGAGGGGGCAGAGAGAGAGGGAGACACAGAATCCGAAGCAGGCTCCAGGCTCTGAGCTGTCAGCACAGAGCCCGATGTGGGGCTCGAACTCATGGAGCAATGAGATTATGGCCTGAGGTGAAGCCAGACACATAACCCACGGAGCCACCCAGGTGCCCCTCTCAAAATAAACTTTTAAAAGTGGTTTTAAAAAGAGATCGAATTCATGTGCCATAACATTCACCCTTTCAAAGTGCCCAATTCAGTGTGTTTGAGCACATTCACAAAGATGTGGCACCTGTCACCCTATCTAATTCCAGGACATTTTCATTACCTCAAAAAGAAACCCATAGCCCATTAGCAACTCCCTTCCTCATTTCCCCTCTGCTCCCAGCCCCATGGGTTGCATCACACAGGGGCACCTGGGTGGCTCAGTTGGTAAGAAGTAAGTATCCGCCTTCAGCTCAGGCCATGATCTCAGTTTGTGAGTTTGAGCCCCGTGTCAGGTTCTGTGCTGACAGCTCGGAGCCTAGAGCCTGTTTTGGATTCTGGGTCTCCCTCTCTCTCTGCTCCTTCCCCTTCCCCTCCTCACTCTCTCTCAAAAATAAAGATTAAAATTAAAAAAATAATAATAAAAGGAATCAGACCACAGGAAGTGGTCTTTTGGGTCGACCTACTTTCACTGAGCATACTGCGTGTTTTTTTTTTTTTAATGTTTTATTTATTTCTGAGAAAGAGACAGAGAGACAGCATGAGCAGGGGAGGGTCAGAAAGAGGGAGATACAGAATCTGAATCAGGCTCCAGGCTCTGAGCTGTCAGCACAGAGCACAGAGCCCGACGCGGGGCTCGAACCCATGAGAACCCACAAACCGTGAAATCATGCCCTGAGCCCAAGTCGGTCGCTTAACCGACTGAGCCACCCAGGCGCCCCTTGCTGAGCATACTGTTTTTAAGGTTCATCATTTTGTAGCCTCCCCCTTCCTGTAGCCTCAATCCTCTCAGTGGGGAATGAGGTGGCGACAGTACTGGGGTTAGGGGGGTGGAGCAGGGGTCGGGCCTGAGGTGTGGTGAGCGGGTGTGTGTGGAGGGAGGTGATCTGCTGCCCCCGTGTGGTGCAAGGGAGAACTGCAGCTCTGCGCGCTAAGCCCGGGAAGGAGTGACTCAGCTCCCCCACCCCACGCCACCCCTCACCCTGCAGCGCCCGGGGGAGGGGGGTAGTCTCAAAACTTCTGGAACACCATCCTGAAGTCCTCCCTCTCTGCATCCCGCCACTCCTGAGGCTCCTTGGGCCCCATCTGCAGAGTAGCAATGGTAATGTCATCCACTTAGGAAGTTCTAATCTGTTCCCGTGTGAAACATTTACACATGTAGTCATTACATACATAGTCTCTTGCTGCACACTGAGGTTGCCACTCTCACTTTTCCGGGACAGGAAGGCATGGTGCTTAAGAGCCCAAGTTCCAGAGGTTGGAGGCACTTGGGGTTCAAATCTCAGTCCCGCCAGTCAACAGCCATGTAACCTTCAGCATGCGGACGTGGGGCTGAGAATAAAGCCTCAAACTCACAGGGTGGCAGAGAGAATAAAGCGCTCCGAGCCAGGCACAGAGGAAGCATCTGCGAGTTTATGTAGCTGATAGTATCAACCAGAGACATGCTGATGAGTGCGTGACAGCCTGCTCTCTGGGGGGTGGGGGTGGGGAGCCTTGATTGGTGGCGTTAGCCAATTTCCCTGGTGTAAATATTTCCACCACTGGCCGATTCAAGTTCGCTACAGTGATGTCGCCAAAAGCATTTTGGGGGAAGCTCATTACACAGTTGTTTCACTATGAAGGTACAATTGGATGTAAATAATCTCAGGATCACAGATAATAGTAAAAGTAGTAAAATAAATTAGGTCGTGACGAGCGTTTGTTACCTCTGTTTCAAATGTAATTTATTTAATTACGTGTTTGCATAATTTAATGTCTAATAATGGCTGTCTGACAACCACTTTCAGAATTCCTGAGACTTGAACCATCAGCTCCGTCGGGCTGACTCCAACACACTGCTGCGATGATCACACCCTGTGTTTTAGAAAGGGAAACTGAGGCTCTAGAAGATGGTCAGACAGACAGGGGCAGGGCAGGGCCCCAATCCAAGGGTTGTGGGATCTGGGGGCCAGGACTATGCAATGCCCCTCTTTCTTCCGTCCCGTCCTGGCCTAGGGTGGTCCCCGCAGTGTGGCAGGAGCTCAGAGAAGCCCTTGCCCTCTCTGGTTTCAGCTTGCCCAGCCCGCCAGCGGCTGCGCCCTGCGGTGCCTACCTATACGGGCGTCTTCCGCGCCTGCTTCAGCCCTCCCAGAAAGGCAACATGTAGATCCTCGCCCTCACCCAGTGTAGACTGGGAAACCGGGGCCAAGAAGGGGCAGATGCCTGCCCTGAGTCACAGAGCTATACCCAGAGTCCTCAGACCCCCGCGGGGGTGCGCAGGAGAGGAGCGGGGGGCGCGCAGCCACAGCCCTGGGCTCTGGGGTTTTCTGGGAGGTGGGAGGCAGCATTGCTAGAGATGGTGGTCAGCCCCCCGCAGCGGCTCTGCCTCGCACCCTGTGCCCCCAGCGCCCTCAGCTCTGTGTTCCCAAGAACTTCCTGGGCCCCTCGACTGAGCAGAGGGTGGGCTGGGACGGAGAAGGTGGACGGCGCCGCTGTCCGCCTGGTTCTCATCTCTGGGGTCCTGTCTGCCTCTGGCGTCTCTGTCTTGTCTTTTTCTCTCCATTCTCTTCGCAGGTCTCTGCGTCTCTGTGTGTTATCTCTTTGTCTCTTTATGCCTCTCCCTCCGTCCCCCTGTGTGGGTCTCTCAGTCTTTGTCGCTCTCTGTGTCTCTGCTCTCTCTGTATCTCTGTCTCTGTGTGTCTCTTTCCCTATGCTTCTCCTTTTTTTTTTTTTTTTTTTGTCGCTCGGGGCTTTTGGCTCCCGTCACACCTCTTTGTGTGTCTGCGCTTCTCCCTACTTCTGTCTCTCTATCCTTGTGTCTCTTTGTCTCTCTCTTTTCGTGTCTCTCCATCTCTGCGTCTCTCGATGTCTTTCTCTGCGTCTCTGGCGCTTTGCCGAGCCGTTTGTCTCCCCTTCTCTTCCGGTGAGTCCCTACTCTCCTGTGAGAACACGCTCGCTACCGACGCGCCCAGACCTGCCTCCGCCCCCAGAGCCCCCGGCTAGCCCGGGCCTGCGCCTTTAAGGGCCGGCGGCAGGGGGCGGGGTCTCGGCGGCCCCGCCCTGCCCGCCCCTCCCCCTGACGTCCCTTCCTCCCCGGCCCCTCCACCGCCTCCCTCCGCCGCCGCCCGGGCCGGCTCCGCGCCCCCTCCCCGGCCCCCGCCCGCCCGTCTGCCCGCCGCCCCCATGGCGCCCCGGGCCCCCACTGCACGGGGCCACTAGGAC